GACTATGAGAAATATAATCTGGAATACAATCAATTCAAAGTATGCTTTACATTTTTGAGCTTTTTTTAATTAATGTCATCTGAAATAAACTTTATAGAATCACGTCTTTTTCTCTTCGTCACAATTTAATCTGTTCACAATAAGATATTACAATAAACAACAAATCTTCTTATCCGCTAAGAGACGTCAAATAAAAACTGAAAGAAGAAACTGAGAAGGATGATTAATGTTATACAAAATGAAGCAAATTGGAATGTAAGAAAGTCCTTTGTCTGTTGAATTAATAGAACGTATATCAATGTAACCTTTTATTAACTATACTTCACTAAGTATTTTCGGAAAAGATACCACTGTGATATAATTGCCATTGTCAGCAGTATTCTCAAGTATTCTTGACTATAACAAATAACAGGCATTTGGATACCATTAATTAGTTTTCTATTACTAGTTCGCTTCTTTTTTTACTTTATCTTTATAACAAAAAGAAAAAATTTATTTCGTTAATTAAACAATAAATCTCGTTATGATCTGTATAAATCTGACACATCTAATCAAATCTATTTTAAAAAAAATATTAATAAGAAAATAGAACACTTATCTGTAATGGCAGAAGCATATTTAATACAGTTAAGTGTTTCTTTCAATTTGATAAAAAATTACAATTGAAAGTTCTCCATTATTATTTTATCGTAATTGATTGCATAGTTCGATATTATAAAATTTTATGTGATCTTATGTTATTGACAAGGTCAGAAAACTTATAATAGAGATCGACAAGTTAGTACTTTTGTGACTTACGTTAAATCATCGTCTTCTTTGGGAAAATTTCCATGTCAAATGAAATAAAAGAAGAATGACTTTTTAATAAATTTTAACTCATCCAGGTTCCGCTGACGTCTTTTTTATTGTCAGATTATACTATTTCTGCACTTCATTTCAATTTATATATTTTTATTTCAATTTGAAAAGAGCATCATATATCAGAATCTTTCTTTCTTTCTTTCTCATCTCTTTTTCCTGTTGTGAGATTTTTCCCTCGAGCTCACGTTTATTTATAAATTCCTTTAGAATCTTTCCACATACCCACCTATATATAATGAATATTCTTAAAGAATTTATTAAGAACTGATTTGCTTGATACGGAATCATAAAGCTTATATAAATCGAGGCAATGTGTTCATCAAATCAATTTTATATAATTATATGAGTGCTATTTGTATTTTCTTGTTCAATCAGAAATCAAAACTAAAGCATACCAAATAATTATATGTATCTATATACATTTTTAGCCTTGACTTAGCTAGGACATTTCTGGAATATAATGGTATTGAATAATAACTTATGTTATACAAATCACAACTGTATACACAAGATTGTCATCTCATTCTTTTTCCCCCTATCTTAATCTAACCTTCATGATACGTTTCTTTTTAAGCAAGCTTATATGACAAAAGATTATTGATACATCATATCATGCATGATATCTTCGAAAACAAAACAATAAGTGAATAACAATATGATGTTAAATGCACAGTTTTCTACTTAGATGTCACTATTCACAGACATAGAAAAATAAGAAAAAACAATAAAAATGATTCATAATGCGTATAGAAAATTTCCTATTCGCCCAATGGAAAACCAATCATTCCAGAAATTTCTACATCTAAACAAAGAATGCACCGTAATATGATTATGTTAACTTTCAAAAAACCAAAACTTCTTGTCAAGCATCACTAATACTTACTTTTCTATTCAATTATGAACTTATTTATGTATCTTCTAGATTAGCAACATCACCTTTATTACTGATGGCCGATACTGTAACTATAGATATTCTTTTATATATTATCTTATAACTGTTATATTTTTATAGACTACTACTACAGATAGACCAATATCTGTACATTCACTTGTGTTCCGTTCACTTAAACGAACACATGATTTATTTCTTGCTAATCAAAATACACCTGTAGCACCCGATGAAACGGCGTATGTATTTACAAATAATTATCTTTCGTAATATAATCGATAATATTTCTCTTTAAAAATAGAGATGCTATTACAAGAAAAATTAAAGCAAAAGATCAATATGGTACAGTACTTACCTTACCAAAAGGTATGAAACCTCATGTGAAAAGTACTACAGAAACAACTGAAACATCAGGTGAAGCAACAAGTATGTTTTATTTTATCTCTTAAATTCTTTCAAATAAATATTTTTTCATTTTAGATGATGGTAAGCATCGAACTTCTTTTTTTTAGATAAATATTACTATGAACATTCAATATTATAGATACATCTGAGAATACCAGTGAAACAGTTAATGATACCATTCCACCGTAAATATTTGATTTTGATTTTTTTAGTTATTTTCTTTATTTATATTTTAGTACAATCTCAAATACTGATGTAACATCAACAACAACAATGAGCAATGTATGAATCAATTATTTTATTACAATAGTTATTAGATTGTCATTAATTTGATTTAGGCACTTGTTTTAGCAAATAAACCACAACAAACATCGAATCAACTACAAGCACTTGTATCGAAAAAACCAGCATCAGTTATGCCTAAACCACAATGGCATGCACCATGGAAATTAATGAGAGTATGTTATATGAAACCAAACATTTTTTTATTGTAATAATATTTTTGTTTTAGGTTATTAGTGGACATTTAGGTTGGGTTCGTTGTGTTGATGTTGAACCAGCTAATGAATGGTTTGTTACTGGTGCAGCTGATCGAGTTATTAAAGTATAAAAAAATCATCTTCTTTCATTTTGTTCGAATAAATACAATCTTGAGATTTCAATTTAGATTTGGGATTTAGCTAGTGGCACACTTAAATTATCACTTACTGGTCATGTATCAACTGTCCGTGGTGTAGCTGTTAGTTCACGACAACCTTATTTATTCTCAGCTGGTGAAGATAAACAAGTTAAATGTTGGGATCTGGAATGCAATAAGGTATTTTATATATATATATATATATATATTAATACATGAAATTATTATGATTATTATTATTCTTAGGTTATTCGTCACTATCATGGACATTTAAGTGCTGTTTATGCACTTTCACTTCATCCAACACTTGATATTCTAGTTAGTTGTGGTCGAGATTCCGTTGCACGAGTATGTTTTATATATTTTTTTTAAAATTTAAATCAATAAACGAATGAATCATAAAGGTATGGGATATGCGTACAAAAGCTCAAATTCATTGTTTAACTGGACATACCAATACTGTAGCTGATGTTAAAACACAAGCAGGAGATCCAAGTGTAAGATTTAATTTTTTTTGTCTCATTTTAATAATATATTGATTTTATTTTTAATATAGGTTGTGACTGGAAGTCATGATAGTACAATACGTTTTTGGGATCTTATTGCTGGACGAACATATTGTACATTAACACATCATAAAAAAAGTGTACGTTCACTTGCAATTCATCCGAAATGGTAAAAAAAGACTAATAAAGTAGAAACTATTGATAATCTATAATGTATAAAATTTTAGGAATACAATGGCATCAGCTTCACCAGATAATATTAAAGAATGGAGATTTCCTAAGGGTGAATTCATTCAAAATTTAAGTGGTCATAGTGCTATTGTTAATTCATTGGCCTCTAATGCCGATAATGTACTTGTTTCGGGTGGTATGTCTTCATTGATTTGTATTATTTGTTCGTCTTTTTAATAATAAAGTTTTTTTCTAGCGGATAATGGTTCATTGTATTTCTGGGATTGGAAAACTGGTTATAATTTTCAACGTCTTCAAACAATTCCACAACCAGGTTCAATTGATCCTGAAATGGGTATTTATGCAATGACATTTGATCAAAGTGGTAGTCGATTAATTACCTGTGAAGCTGATAAAACAATTAAAATTTATAAAGAAGATGAAACAGCGGTAAATATAATTGAAAAATAGATTTTTGATTTTATTTTCTATTTTCTATTTTTAGACTGAACAAAGTCATCCGGTGGATTGGGCACCAAATATTTTCAAACGAAAACGATATTAAATTCTTTTTCTTTTTTCTGTGTTTTGTTATTTGTCTTTTGTGTGTACAGTTTCTTGAAATTCAAGAAAAAAAAGAAAGGAAAAAAATTATATATGATTGATATTTCTATTCATTGTCTTCTTTAGATAATGATTACTTCAAAAATAATTAATTTAACTATAAAATCTTCTCATGTAAGTTTTACACTATTTATATAATACTAATTAGTAGAGATTTTTTTTTCTATAGCTCTCATCAATACGATATCTGTCTCTAACAGCTATAAATAATGCACGAGAACGTTCATATCATGTAGCTGATAAGAAAGGTTTTCATGATCGTGAAGATGTTAATTATGATACTCCTAAACAACCAAAACAAGCTAGATTTCGTGATCATTTTCGTTATACAGCATTGGAAGAAGTTAAAATGGAACAAAGTACTCAACCATCATTAGTCGAATCAATGATTGATCCAACTAAACCACCACATAAATTTCATGTTGTTACTAAAATACAATCAACGTATGGTGAAACTGTATATGTAAAAGAAGCACTGGAAAAACTTGGTTTCATCAGTTTTGGTCGAAGGGTAAATACATATATAAATTCTTTTAATTTTGATAATTAATTATGTTTTTTTAAGCAATGGGATGTATTGACAGTCATCCTTAAAAATGCTCCATCAGTAAATAAACATCTTTATATATGCAAACATATGGTACAGATAAAACCATTGACATTTATTAATGGTGTTCCATCTTTAAATGATATTGGTTCGACTAAATTATTTCCACATAATGGTCATTTAACAATAGGAAATCATTTTAATTTGAATCAAATGAATATTTCAATAGACGATAAAGATAAATGGCCCGTAAATATGAAACATATTGTTGCTCGATTACATGCAGATAAGAATGCGAATCGTCTTCATTCTGAATATTTTCCAACAAAATATGATTGGTTTTTTGGACAAGATATACCTGGTGTTAAACTAATTCCACCAGTTAATCCTGATATTAAAGATACACATTTAGAAGATCTTTAGATTATAATTAGAAAGATTTCAATGTTATTGTTTGTTTGTTTCTTTCTTTTTCTTTTTTTCGGAGTACAAATAAATATGTATTTGTCTCGTTGTTTTTTTACGATGACGAAAGAGAATGTTTTTTTGTTTATGTATTATTAATTTTTACTTTTAGATAGTGGGATGTTCGAGTGGACATATGCGGGTATTAATTTTTCGGCAAAAAATACCGAACCTTGGGCTGATGATGGAGGTATTGAATGTGCTGCACATTCAACCTTACGTCAACGCTTACTTGAAACACTCATCACAGTGATCGTCGCATCATATGAAATTTACTATGCAACTTATTATGCAAAAAATCGATTAGGAACATCATTCCCACGTGAATACGCTAGAGAACGACAAGGACGACCAAGTGTATTAAGACGTTTAGTACTTGTATGTTATGCACTTTTATGGGGTATTGAAATTGGTTTTAAATTAGCTTCACGTCAATTTATTTATATACTTAATCCATGCCATATGGTTACTTTAATACAAGTAAATAATAATACTATTCTCATTATTATTCTATAAAAATAAATAAGATACATATATATATGTGGTGATTAATTTCAATAGCACAAGTTTTCCATTAGGACATTGATAGTCTCATCTGATCTGATTTCTATGTATGTTGAGAAGAGAAGTATTTATATTAAATTACTAACTAATGGTCGATGGGGAATTGAAACTTATAATTTTAACATCAAGACTGATAAGATTTTTTATAATTAATTTAAGATTTTATATTTAGATTATTCTCCTGACATTTTCTTCAAATTATTATACACGTGGTCTTTATCGTTTACACTGTGGTATGTTAAATGGTGGTACACTTGCAATTTATTTTCCAGTGACAGCAACAAGACTTTTTCCATTTGAAGTTGAACTCTATTATATTCAACATATTCTTATTTTAGTCGTACCAATTTTTCTTCTCTCATCTCATGGTTATTAAAATATATTTAAATAAATGAAAAATAATTTTTTTTCTTCTTCATATTTTAGGAGGTTATAGTCTTGAACCGGTTGCATCTTTTCGGTGGACAATTTCAGCTATAGCTAGCTTTCGTTTTTATCATTATTTTGTATTACAACCAGTTTCCTTAGTACGTATATTTATATTATTATAAAAAAAACTATTATTTTACTTTTAATCTATCTAGTTAACCTGGGTAAATCTAAATGGTGTTCTATGTCCATTTCAATTTGATCCATTTATCGGTCGTTATTATCGTTTATGGGCTAATATACATCAAACATTATTTATGATAATTCATCATAAATTATTTTCAGTTGTAGCTCGTACAATTATCCAATTTGATCTACGACGTATAATGTATTACAGCCGACGACAAGACAAGCAACTACATCAAAATAATAAGATGAGTGATATTCCAAAAGACAAGTAATATATATTGCAATTATTTATATAATATCAAGTATTTTTTGCTTCTATAAACACTAGTCTACTATATATATTTATATTATATATATTTTTTTGTCATAAATGTAGTTTGGTGTTGTTTTATGTATTTCGTATTTTTTTTCTTTGTTTAAAACAGTGATCTAATATGCATATTAAACGATTAAACGTGCAAGTTCTTTTTTATTGACTTTGCCCATTGCATTTCGAGGAATATGATCAAGAATAGTTATTGAATCAGGTAAGGAATAATTTGGTAGATATTCTTTTGAATATTTTCGTACATTATCAATTGTTAAATCAGTTATATTATTTAATGATTTTGGTACGATCATAGCCACAATTTTTTGACCTAATGTTGAATCATCAATGCCAATAACTGAACATTCAGAAATATTTTTATGTTCTAATAAAATACGTTCAATGTCTAATGCGGATATTTTATAACCAGCACGTTTGATAATATCCATTGATTGTCTACCACGAATTGAAAATACATTTTTTACTGGATCATAACGACAAACATCACCAGTTTTAAAATAACTACCATCTATTGTAAATGTTGCACGAGTTTCATTACGTTTTCGCCAATATTCTTTAAACAAAGTTGGACTTTGAATAAGAAGTTCACCTTCAATAGGTTCACCAGTATCTTAACAAAAAGTTTATTTTATTTTACTTTTCGAAAAAAAACAAATTTTTATCTTACTTTGAACTTCAATTTTTGTATTATCACTATCAGCATCTACTAATGTTTCATAACCCATGGGTGATGTCGTATTTTCTCGTGCTATTCGAATATTCACACTAGGCATTGGTCGACCAACCGAACCTAATTATAAACAAAATGATAAGTATTTTTGTAGTAGAATAATGCATATGAATACTGAGATTTTCTTGAATAATTTTTATACTATCTTAAATTCAAATCGTGTTCTCTATGTATTTTTGAATAAGTAAAAATTATACCTGGAATTCTTTCTCCATCTAATGGATTCGTTAATGCCATACCACATTCGGTCATACCATAACGTTCAAGAAGACTATGACCTGTTATTTCATACCATCGTCGATGAATACTTTCAGGTAATGCAGCTGAACCACACATCATTAAACGTATCATTTGTGAACATTGTTCACGAACAAATTCTCTTGTTTGAGGACGTGATGCTAATTTACTTTCATAATCTTGAATAAGTTTTGAATAGATTGTTGGTACTGCTGTAAAGACAGTGATATGTCGTTCAAAACCAGGTTGAACTAAATGTTCCCATGCCTATAAAAATTCGTATAATTAGAAAATAATATCTTGTTTTTCTCTTTGTAAATAACCTTTGTTGCATCGAAATGAGGAAGCATTACAACTGTAGCACCAATAAAAAGTGGCGTTAAAAGTGCATTGATAAGACCATGAACATGATGAAGAGGTAAAACATGTAATATAACTATAGATCAAAATAAAAAAGCGAAAAAATAAGTTAATTCTAAAAAAAATATTTTTTACCATCATCTTTAGTCCATTCCCAAGCTTTTATCATTGAATCAACATGTGCTTGAATAGTATCAAATGTTAATACACATCCTTTTGGTTTACCACTTGTTCCACTTGTATATATAATTAAAGCATTTGATCGTTCACTTCGATCAATTGTTGTCGATAATAAAAGATCATCATTAAGATTTTCATTCGTATTTTTTGTTGATAAATTCTTCTTAATATTAATAATAGGCATATCAGTTTGTGAATTATGTGTTAATGTTGATTTAATCAATTCATTACTATGATCATCACCAACAATAACTCCACGACATTGTGCATCATTAAGAAAATAAGCAAGTGATGAAGGTGGATGATGTGATGATAATGGAACTACAGTTGCACCGACCATCCATGAAGCCCACATAGCAACAATAAATGAAACATCATTTGGACATAAAACACCAAATTGTATATTATTTTTATTTTGTGTATCATCAGTCGATTTTTGTTGTTGACAAAATGGAGTAAGACGACGTGAAAGTTGTCGTGAAAGAGAATACAGTTGACCATAAGTATATGAAGATGAATGATCGACTAATGCAACATGATTTGCATAACGAGAAACTGATTCATAATAAATTGGACGTGATGTTGATGATAAACGAAATGAAGATTTGAAATGAAAAAAACTTTTACGTATTGGAAAAATAATAATACGAGAATAAATCATCTGTAATAGAGATTATTTTGTATGGATCAATTATATTTTCAAATAACAAATCTTTATAAGATTTTTATAATAATAATTCATTAGATTAATAAAAAACAATTTTTCTTGTTTTCTTTGATAAAAACAATTCTATATTTAATATAAAGAAAAGATTTTAAAGATATTTATAATCTAGCTTTTTCTTTTAGAGAAATAAAATAAAATATTAAAATATGTGAAATCACAAAAAAAATCAACTTATTCAATAATTATATGCGAATATATAGGATTATTTTTTATCCTTCGATGAAGGTGGGAAAAGTTTTGCATTT